GGAAATTTCACCTTCACAGAAAGGATGACTTTTCCCCATACAGTTGCCTCCAAATGGATAACTCTGATTGTGAGTGACAGGAGTCTCTCCTAAACCCTAAATCTCCTAAATCTGAACAAAGTCAAGCAGAGGACTGGAGAGAGACCAGGGAAGATAAGGGAGTGGGGCTGGGTCTTCTTCTGGGATGTCCTCCTCTCTCAGAGCTTTTTTAAGATCATAATTACATGCAAAACAAGGACAGGGACCATGGAGTAATGATGTGATGATGGTGGTGATAATGGTGATGCTGATGCTGGGGATGGTGATGGTAGTGATGATGCTGATGGTGATGATGGAGATGGTGGTGATGGTGATGGTGGTGATGCTGCTGATGATGGTGGTGATGCTGCTGCTGATGACAGTGGTGAGGATGGTGAGGATGGTGGTGGTGATATTGGTGACGATGACTGTAAGGAGACTGCAGTGCCTTAAATTCAAATAGGCTTCTGTGTACATTTCCATACTAAATAGAGAACAAGATAAACTCTATATTAGACTACATAGTGGAACTAAGATGAAAAGCTTTATGAAAAACTGGTCAGCTTGCCCTGTGTATATGAGGTTATTTTGACTTGACCCTGGACTTCTGAGGAGGCCCACAGTTGCCATAAGCCTCAGCATCTGGATTTTTTTTTAAACCACTTTGAACAGCAATTTGGATTTTGTCATTTGCTTACTTCCAAAGAACAGCAGTCAACTTGGGCTGGCCAAATTGTTGTCTTAAATTCTGATCAGCCTATGTTAGCGAAACTGTCCAACTCCCTCAACGTGGCCCTGGGCTTTGTCACTGTTGGTGGACGTTCAGTGTGTCGATGTCACTGGGACACGGATCACAGCTGTTCACGTTGCACCCAGTTTCTGCGAAGGATGTCTGCATTCTTGCAGCTCCTTAGATGCTTAGTAAGAACTCTGCCTAATGCTTACGTTGTATTAATCTTGTGTTTTCAGCCCTTCCCTCTGTGGGAAACTTGGAAGGTTTGTGTGCTTTTAGGAAACATCTTGATGAAAAGGAGGTCTTTCCGATTTCACTGCTGTGGGCAATTAGAACGGTTCAGAGCAGCCACCTTGCCTGAAGTCATGAGCACGCATGCTTCTGGGACGAGGAGGAGGGGTCTTCCACGATGAGGCTTTCTCAGGACAAGGCCTGTCTCTGCTCCCTGGGGTGAGCACCTGGACTCTTCCCCCGCAGACTTCTGGCTCAGCTCCTTTCAGCCAGGAGGAGAAAACACAAGGACGCTGAGGTTCCGTGGGCTCGGGCGCTCAGCCCCGCCCCGCGCCTGACGCCTCTCGTGCCTGCAGTGTCGTTCCACCTCCTTTTGGTTGAAGATGGTTCCCCTCGAATGCTTCCCGGGATCATTCGTGGCCTCTGCGTCCGTGCGTGTCACCTCCCGCCTGCAGCAAGGCCAGGGTGGAGAGGAAAGGTCACCGCTCCAGGCCACCCGTGCTGATGGGAGCCCCGTTTCCGCCACCGGGATGTGGAGCTGGGCGACGTAACAGCCCTCAGGGTGGAGGCTCAGAGCAGGCGGTCCGGGCCTTGGGGGGAAGCCGGATGTTCAGGGGGTGATGTCTCTGGCCTGCTACCAGCCCTGCCCTGTCGAGGTCAGGGGAAAGCATGACACAGGAATTCCTGAGAAAAAGCCAAAGGGAGTTGCCAGATTTCCCGTGAGGCCCGGGCAGGGACCAGGGGTCTGAGATCCTTCTGGCTCACGGTGGGGTGTAGGGGGCCCTGCGAGGAGCACAGGGAGAGGGGAGGCCAGAAACAGACACGTTGGGTTCTCCCAGGATCCCGCTGGCCACTCCAGCGAGGCTCCCCATTTATCCTTTAATTGTGTGACTAAGAAGAGCCCATTCGTGCCAAGTGGGGGGGGCTCACTGCTCCTCCTGGACCACAGGATGAGAGGTGTGTGGTCGTGGCCCGCGGAGCCTGCGTGTGTGTCCGGCATCCGGGACCCTCAGGACCCACGGGAGGGGTCGAGGTCAGCCTCCTCCAACTTGGGCCATGGTCCCTGCATGCCCTGTGTGTCCCTGTCCACGAGAGGGGCCACGTTGGCTGGCGGGTTGGTGTGGGACGAGGCCTGCAGTACCCACGTGGGCAGCCCTGGTAGGTCAGTCCCGAGTTGAGGGGACCCATATGCTTACTGCACTCCGTGAGCAGAAAGGTGTTGGATTCCTTGGCTGGTGTCTGCAAGTCGCTTGTGTGTCTTCACAGCAATCAGCGCAGCCTGGCCCTGGCTCCTCCAGAGGGTGGGGGCCTCTGTGGGGCTGGTGCTTCGTGGCACTGAGCCCCCTAGTCTCATGGCCAGCAGTTCTGCAGGCCCGCCCCTTCCTTCCTGTGAACGTGGGAGCCCAAGTGCAGCCCACCCCGGGTGTAGGGGAGAGGGCAAGACCTTCTACTGGGCTTCCCCAGAGTCCCTGCAGCTCATCCACGCGGCCAGGCTGCAGGGGGTGGGCTGTGGGCAGTCCCTGTCCCCGGGCCCAGCCAGTGGGGATGCTTCGCAGCATCCACGCCTGCGCCCACCCTTGCTGGCCAGCCTCACTCGCACTCTGCCGCCTCTAGCATCTTGTCATCCTACCTTCCCAGTTGCCATGACAACGCATTACCTCTGAAGATGGTTTCTGGAAAACGTGCTGTTTTTGGAAAATGTGCTCAAGGGATCAACTACTTCCTGTCTGACCAAGCTTCTGGCCTTTCCACTTCCACCCGCCCCCCCCCCGGGGACACGGGAGGGGGAGCTGGGACCCAGGAGACAGCAGGGGACAATATTTGTCTGTGCCGGCCGGTCAGGGCTCCAGGTCAGCCAGACAGCCGTCCACTTGTGTTCTGAAATTCACTGTGATGCGAGGTCAGCTTCTGTGTGAAGGGCTGAGTGTCTGCTCTGCTCCCGAGGCCGCTGTGCCGGGGTCTGCAGGGGCTGGTGCTTTGGACCTGCAGCTGCTCACGAGCCCCCTAACCCCTCCCCCCCCCCGCCTGGCCCCATGCCCGGGAGCTCTCCGAGGTCAGGACCCAGTCTCCAGGCCCACATCCCCCGCAGAGCCTTACAGGCTGCAAAGGCGGAGCAGATGCAGAAGGCGTCAGACAAAAGCAACGAGCCGGAAAAGCACGGGAGTCAGACGTTGGGCGTCTTCCTCCCTGGTCCAGCTTTTTAGAGTTAGGCAGGGGAGGGGAGGGGGAAGAGACCACAGAAGCAGCAATAAACAGAAATACAATATTCTGGGGAGAGTTGTGTCTCTGAACGGCAAGAAGAGCCAAGTACAGACAAGGATGACAAATGAGGCTTATTCAGAGACAGCCACTGTCCCCAGAAAGCTGTGTCATGCTGCTGTCTCATTCATGTACATGGCTTGGCCCGAAATTCAGTGAAAGAAAATGTCCTGTGTTGCTACTTAGTGCTGTGATTAGGAAGTAAGGGCAGAAGTGCACTGGTGTTTGACGAAATCACAGTTTCCCCCTCAATGGATGAGATAATTTTCAAAATCAACATGCAGAGACCAGTGACAGCTCCTTCTGCTAAGACACCAGCACAGGTGGCCTCTGCGTCACTGAGCAGATGTTTGCCTGTTCATCCGGTCTTCGAGCATAAACTCCAGCATCCAGGGGCCTCCCCACGAGACCAAGGAGGTTTGTGGAAGGCACCCTTGGCACCTGGGTCTCCCATCTCTGAGCCTGGTCCACACCAGGACATCACAGACACGGTGCCATTGGAGAAGCAGCAGTAACACACGTGCTCCCTGGTCAGGGACGTGAGGGCACTTGAGAGCTCATTTCAGGACAGATGGAGGAGGGAAGCCCTGCTTCATGAGGGAGGGGAGCTTTGTTATCTAACGGAGCTCCTGCCGAAACGCAAGGCTCAGCTCGGCTGCCCACGCCTGGGAGAGCAGAGGGGGTCCTGCTGTGGGACCCCAGGTGGCTGATGGCAGGGAGGGGACGGGACTAGGCGGGGCTCACCCTGCCAGCAGCTGCTCACCCCGCGCGGCTGCCCGTCTCTGAGACGGACACAGCCCTGGTACGTGACATGCGTGAGCATGTTCAGGAATAGTAGAATGTTCTAGAATGTGAAGTGCTCACGGACTTCTGCTTTGTCCTGTGCGCACCCTCACTCCACTTTGCTCTGATTCTGCCCGAGATCACTGGCCACACAGTCACAGGAGCAGAGACGACTCCGTCAGTCTTGGTGTCCATTTCCTCTGACCGCAGAGCCCACCGGCCTCCTCACACACACCCCGGGAGACCTCGGGGCCTCGCGTCCCTTCCCTGGCTGGAGGGAAGAGTAACAGATGCTGCAGGAGGCAAGCCCATCTTGAGCAGGGGTAACGGGCCAGCACGGTGCGTGGGCAGTGGCTCTCCCCCAGCAGTAACCTCGTATTTATGTGCTGACTTACCATCGCCAAAGCTCTTCTGTGTGCTCTTCTGTACCTTGGCCTTCATCGTAGCCCGGGGCGGGGAAGGCCCCCAGTATGCAGACAGGGAGCTGGAGCCTGGACATACAAGTCCTGCCCGAGCAAGGGGGCCCGCTGACAGGAGCCGGATCTTCTGGCCTCAAGGCTCAGACCACCTGTCACTGACGGCCTTGAATGGGCAGGCGTCACATCTGCCCACGAGGACGGTCACCACCGGTTCCCTCCCCGGCGCCCCTCTGACCGCTCGCAGCGGCGCCCGGATGATGTTCAGCAGCACGCGGAGTCGCAGCTTCAGCCCCGAGGAGCACCGCTCTGCTGATTCCAGGAGCAGCCAAGGCCCCGGAAATTAGCCGACGTGTCCACTGCCAGTCAGAAGGCCCCGGAAGAATCCAGAATCACACCTGAGCCTCCTCACCCCTGGCCCACTCTCACGACACCCCCCAAACCCTGCACCCCCCTGCACTTTTGTCTGCAAAGGCGTCATGGAGCACGGTGATTCCGCCCTCCAGCTGTGCGCGCTCCACGTGCCACACCCACAGGAGACAAGCCATGCTCGGAACCAGGTCTTCCGTGGCGCCGGCCAGCGAGGGAGGCTGGGGTGTGGAAGGCAGGGCTGTGTGCAGCCAGCAGGCCTTGTCTGAGAGCGCCCTTTGCTGGGCATCCAGGGTTGGAGAATCCGTCGCGAGCCGTCTGCTGCAGGGAAACACAAGAAGACAGGGGACCCCAGGAAAGGATTCCTGCCATCGAGAAATTCGCAGTCTCTGGGAATTCCTACCCCTCATTCACTTGTGTGGTTCCTGCAGGGACCACAGCCTCACCAGATGCCTGTTCCCATAGGACCTGAATCCTGGCGGGAGGGCGGGCGAGGAACGAGGTGACTGATGTCAGCGCAGCCTGGAATCAGGGCTACGCAGGTAACCCAGCCGAGAAACAGGTCAGAGCATGATGGGGAGGGGTGCTGTGGGTGGGGGGGGATGCTCTTTGAGCAAATGCAGGCAGATAAGGACCAGGATGTGGGCGTCGGGGGAAGAGACTCTCAGGAGGTAGGAACCATGGCACGAGGCTGGACCGGCTCGTTGTGCCCAGTGGAGAACACCTGGCCGCCCCGGGGAGGTGCGTGGGGCGGGGGCGCAGGGTGTGGGGTGTGGAGGGAGATGAGCAGCTGTCCTGTCTATTCCAAGTGAGGTGGGAACCCCTGAACAGTTCACGCCCCGGGGATGATGACATCTGATTTGTATCTCAAATCTCTGGCTCCCATAGGGTGAGCACGCTGTCCGGGGGAGAGCCGGAGGGGGAAGCGTCGCTTGCTGGTCAGGCGGGAACTGTCTGGACCACAGCCAGCGCGTGGGTGCTGAATGTGGCCGGGCAGGAAAACAGGGTGGCTGTCGGAGTGCAGGTCGGGGTGCAGGGTTGGGTGTGGGATGGAGGTGGAGTGTGACCACGGCTCTCTGCCTGAGCAGGTGGGTTGTGGAGGTGCCGAGAGGGGGCAGGTGGTGGGGGGCCATTGGGGGTGAGGTTAGAAATCCAGAGGTGAGCCTGAGGGGTTCTGCTGAGGGCGGCCGTGTGGGGGGCGTGAGAAAAGTATAGCCAGAGGCTTCGATGGGATGAAATCAGACTGGAGGCGGGTGGTGTGGACGAGTCACCCAGGAGACGGTTGGGGAGTGAGAGACTGGAAGGCGCTCCTAGTGACCCTACTCGGGAGACAGAGGGGGACTGAGCAGCCGTGGGGCCACCAAGCAGGCAGGACGGCCTGGGCCAGGTGGGCACCTGCAGCGGCGGCTGACAGTACGCGCAGAGGCCACCGTGGGCCGGGATGGGCCTCAAAGCCCTGGGCCCAGAAGTGGCCAAAGAAACCCTGTTGTCGGCCACTCTGTCCTGTCATCGGAGCCCTGCTGTCTCAGCCTCTGGGGATATGGTCGGAAGGTGGAGTCTGCAAGCAGCCGTTTGTGAAAGGGCCTCTTGTTCATCATGAAACCACGAGCCAGTCCCTGGGAACGCAGGCCACCCAGGGGCACCTGGCTGGGGGGGCCGGCCGCCGTCCCGCCTGCTGCGGGCTCTCTGTTCACTTCCTATTCAGACCAGAGCCGCGCAAACGTCTCCCGAAGAACCAGGCCCTTCGTTTCCCGAGACTGGATACAGATTTGGAGCGTTCTCCTCTGAGTGAGCGCAGTCACCTCTTCACGAGGAATCTCAGCGTCTCTGGACACGCCTGATGAATGTGGTGGCCGCTCAGGGCAGGACAGCGTGGGGTTTAGAGCCCTGGACTCGAGTCCCAGCCCCAGTGCTGAGGAGTGGGAGACACACTTGCAGTCTCAGTTTCCCCCTGAGAAAACGGAGAAACAAAGTCCATCGGATTCCTTTACGCTTTAAACTAGTCAAGACACACGAACGTACCCCTTGTAGAGCTGTGAAGCCGTGGACAGCTGCAACTCCTACTGTAATTTATAACACACCCAGAGAGAAAGGTGTTGTTGAGACAACTTTGTGAGAAGAGGACACACTGTGGGCCTCTCAGTTAACCGCCAGGAGGGTCCCCTGGCCTGGCATCTTAGGACGCATTCTTTAACTCAGGATTTTAAACGAATGACTCATTCTGCAAAAGGAAATATGCCATTTACTCCATCTACTTATTTTGCACCGGTGTGATGGACCGGAGGTTGGTGGGCCGCCCAGATTCATGCGCGTATGTCGAAGCCCCAGCACCCACAGTGGCTGCACTGCTGACGGGGTTTCTGAGGCAGTGACGGAGGTTAAATGAGGTCATCTGGGTGGGGCCCTGGTCCAACAGGATGAGTGTCCTCACAGGAAGAAACACCAGAGAGTCTCTCTCTCTCTCCTCTCTCTCTCTCTCTCTCTCGTCTACGTCGTCCGTCGTCCGTACGTACGGTACGACGTACGTCGTCGTCGTCGTCGTCGTCGTCGTACGTCGTACGTCGACCGACGACCGACC